GTTGAGAACTGATTAAAGCTTCGCAAAATTGTTCAAAATCATTAAAATCGGGTTTGTAATCATTAGAAATTTGTCTAAATTGTAAACAACCATTTTGTAACTGTTCAAAATTGTTCAAAATGATGAAAATCGCCTTAGTAATTATTGCAACTTTGTCTAAATCATTAAAAACCAATTAATTGCAGTTTTAAGTTGTTCAAAAGTAATGCAAAGACGTTGAGAACTGATTAAAGCTTCGCAAAATTGTTCAAAATCATTAAAATCGGGTTTGTAATCATTAGAAATTTGTCTAAATTGTAAACAACCATTTTGTAACTGTTCAAAATTGTTCAAAATGATGAAAATCGCCTTAGTAATTATTGCAACTTTGTCTAAATCATTAAAAACCAATTAATTGCAGTTTTAAGTTGTTCAAAAGTAATGCAAAGACGTTGAGAACTGATTAAAGCTTCGCAAAATTGTTCAAAATCATTAAAATCGGGTTTGTAATCATTAGAAATTTGTCTAAATTGTAAACAACCATTTTGTAACTGTTCAAAATTGTTCAAAATGATAGAAATCGCCTTAGTAATTATTGCAACTTTGTCTAAATCATTAAAAACCAATTAATTGCAGTTCTAAGTTATTCAAAAGTAATGCAAAGAGGTTAAGAACCGATTGAAGCTTTACAAAATTTGTTCAAAATCATTAAAATTGGGTTTGTAATCATTGGAAATTTGTCTAAATTGTAAACAACCATTTTGCAACTGTTCAAAATGATGGGAATCGCCTTAGTAATTATTGCAACTTTGTCTAAATCATTAAAAACTAATTCATTGTGTATCTAAGTTGTTCAAAAGTAATACAAAGAGGTTGAGAACTGATTACAGCTTTGCAGAATTGTTCAAAATCATTAAAATTGGGTTTGTAACTCTTTCACAACTGGTCAAAATGGTGGAAACCTTCTTGGTAATCATTACAACTTCGTCTAAATCAATTGAAAAGTGATTGAGAGCTGATTACAGCTTTGCAGAATTATTAAAATCGGTTTATTTAATTTTTGAAATTTTGTCTAAATGATACAAAACCACTACTTGGTATTCTAAGTTAACCAAATTATTGCAAAATTTTTTTTTTTTAAGTTTGAATCATTTAATTTATTTATTTACCTCCTCCTCCTCCGCCACCACATCCTCCACTCTTTTTCCCACACGCTTTTTGACTACAAGTAGGTTTTCTCGATCCTGAACCACCACATCCTCCACCACCTCCGCAAGGCGATTTAGCAGCACCACAACTAGGTTTGGAACCACCACAAGGCGATTTCGAACCGCATCCTCCACCTCCGCCACAAGACGATTTTTTAGCACCACAAGGCGATTTCGCCGCTCCGCATCCTCCACCACCGCCACAAGACGATTTTTTAGCACCACATCCACCCCCGGAACTCCTATTAAAAGTACACCCACCTTTCTTTTTTTGGCAAGATCTTCGTTTTTTATTCACGCCAAAAGTACATTTCGGTTTTGATTTTTTAGCACCACCCCCGCAACTACCATTTCCAATCGGTTGGTTGGAATAATTAGCTTTTCCGCAATCGGATTTTTTCGCTCCTTGGTGTTCTCCGCCGCATAATGGGCAGCGGTGTCTTTTCACTACTTGTTTTGAGGTGGTATTGCAAGATTTTTTCGGTTCGTCTTTTGGGCAAGTTGAAGCGCAAGAATTTTTTGGTTCAACTTTTGGGCAAGTTGAAACGCAAGCTTTTTGAGCCGACTTTTGGCATTTCGTTTCTTTTTGTTGGCATACAGGTGGTTGTTTTTTAGTTCCAAAGATGGGGGATTTTAAAATTTTTTCAAATATCGCTTTAAACGATGATTTTTTTTGACAGGTTGGAGTTGATATTACTTTTTTTGAACAAGATTTCTTTTCTTTTTTACAACTCGGTTTCGGTTTTGAACATGTTTTTGGTTCTGAACATGTCGTCTTAGGTTCAGAACATGTCGTTTTAGGTTTTGCACAACTTGGTGGTTTTTCACAACTCTTTGATTTTTCGCAACTCTTTGGTTTTTCTTCACAACTCTTTGATTTTTTTTCACAACTCTTTGGTTCTCCACAACTTTTCGGTTTTCGTTTTCCACAACTACTTGGTTTCAACTTTAAAGTCTTACAACTTTCTGATTTCGCACAACTTTTTGGTTCCCCACACGTTTTTGGTTTCTTTTCCTCCTTTTTCGCACCACCACAAGAACTTGTTTCCTTTTTAGGACATGGTTTAGGTTTCGGGGAGCATTTCTTCTCATTTTCTTTTTTACAAGCCCCTTTCATCATGCTACTTTTTTTTTCGTGTTCCGCAATAATTTTTTTAACCTCTTCACAAATGTCGGGACCTCTTCCTTTTTTTTCTCCACATTTATCGGCTTGTTTCGACAATTTTCTTGCGGTTTTCCCGAAATGGAATGGATCGCTTCCTTGAAATAGTCCAAACCCGGTGTTATTTTTTATCTTACGCAATTTTTTGCCATTCTTTAAATCTGTTAGTAGTTGAATTCGATGTTCGAATTTTCTGCAATTTTTCAAATATTTTCGGGCTTTCGAACCAACTTGGTATTTGACAAGTCGCGTCAAGGTGATTATTTCTTCCTTTTTAATCGGTTTTGGTGATGGAATAAGTGTTGGTTTAAATCCAAAATGTTGTTTTAGTGGAATTGGAAGTATTGTGGGAAATTTTGTGTGATGGCTCGTTTCATTTAATCCAAACTGCTTAAGAACAATGTCGAAATTGGGCTGTTTAGATTCGATCGATGGAATAGGTAAAATTCTGGATTTGTTCGTTGGAAAGACGGGTTTCCATGATTGGATGAGTGATTTTCTGGAAACTATCGGTAGAAAAGTGTCGTTTCTCCATCGGTGACTATAAGATTTTGATGGCGAACACAACAAATTGAACTAGATAAAATTAAAAAAAAATATATTAATTTTTTTTGGCTTTTTTCGTGGATTTTATCGATTTCTTCGCGGTGATAATAAAAAAGATACTTACGAGTGATTTAAATACGGAAAATTTTAAATTTAATTTGGTGAACATTTTATCTGTCTACATCATTTTTTTATTTTTTCTTTGATGGAATGTTTAATAATTATGTCATAGGCCCACTATTTTTTTATTTTCATCAAAAATCTTTTTTTTTATTTAATCATAGTTAGTGGCTGAACGGATTTTCTTCTCTTCGCTTGTAATTAATTCATCATCACATTCATTACTAATAGAACTCGAAATCGCTGTTATCACTTTCGAATATTAATTAAAGTATCCTCTTTTTAAAGCAGAAAGCCGTTTTGAAAAATCACTTTTAGTTCTTGAGAAATAAATTTTTGAAATGATGAAAAGAAAAACTTAACGGCCTATTATTCTAGTTCCAGGTCTTGTGTTAGTTCTAGTGATAGTGCAAAACTAGAACTAACACTACATCTACAGTATGTCCACGGAAAAGGTGTTGAATAGGAAAAACTTTTTTATTTTTAATTTTATCGAAAATAGTTAATCTTGATACAAATTTTTGCTTTTTCTTAGAGTAAGATTAGGATAGAAACATTTAACATATTTTATACGCGCTGTTCAGAAAATTGAAAAAACTTTAAATGGTACAAGAGTAAAGTGCATTTATTTGAAACGATATGGAAATAAGTTAATAGGAAAAGTTGTTTAAAAGTAAAAGGTAGTCTCTAATACCAATTTTCGAAAAATCGGCCTACTTTTATTTATTTGTGATTTGAGCCCTAATTTTGAAAAACTGACAACGGAATCCGATAACCGTTATTATTTGACATATTTTGGTATTATTATTATTATTATTATTGCTGCCGGGCTGAGGAGGGCGGCCCCTCTCGTTACCGCGACCTATAAGATCTATTGTAACTTTAGCCCTCCAAAGGTTTAGGGCAAATGTAGGTCCTTAATGAACCTTAGTATTGTCCTGAGGTCTTGAACCTTTATGTCGGTAGGTAACAGGGGAGTTTTACCGAAGACGTTGTGCCTTAGACGTCCTCTGGCGACGCAATTGCACAGTATATGTTCAGCAGTTTCTGACTCGTCGTTGCATAGTCGACAAGTTTGATCCTCAGCTTGTCCAATGTGGAAGAGGTGGTATTTTAGGGGCACATGGCCGGTTAGGTAGCCTGAGAGCGTTCTTAGATCCCCTTTGCTGAGGCATAAAACCTCTTTGGTTTTGTTTTGCGACGGAGTTATCATACTCTTCGCTTGTCTGTGACCTGGAAGTTCTTTCCAGCGTAAGGCTATCTTTGAAGCCTCCCAGTTGTTGATTATTTGTTTTAGGTGGCTTTTTTGTAGTCCACATCCAGGTTGGGGTCCAATGAAGGGCGTGTTTGCTGCCTCTTTGGCCAGCTTGTCGGCCTTCTCATTGCCCTCAATGTTGCTGTGACCTGGAACCCACCATAGGGTAACATCATTGCCCCTAGCGAGTTCTCTCAGGTTGTTGGTGCACTCTCTGATCAGTGCGGAGCCACACGTGTAGGCCTGAATTGCCTTTAAGGCGGCCCGACTGTCTGTGAAAATGTTTATGGATGCACCTTTTTGTCCCTTCTGTAGGTTCAAAGCGGTGCAGAAGTTTATAGCAAGAACTTCTGCTTGGAAAATTGTTAAGTCCGAGCTGAGGGGCAATTTGATGTGGCTATTTGGTCCACTGATGCCCATGCCTACTCCAGATCTTACTGTCTTTGAAGCATCGGTGTACCAGGCTAGGGCTCCTCTTTTTAGTTGAGGCCCTCCTTTCGCCCAATCATCCCTGCTACTAAATATGACCTTATACGGTTGGTTGAAATTGTATTCCGTCGGTATAAGGTCCGTTTTAATTTCAATCAGGTGATTTAGACATGGGTCTTTGAGGATCTCGAGGTGTCCTCTGAGGTTACCCTGCATCAACTTGAGTGAAGAAACTGTTTTCAGTGATAAGGCACTTAAGGCTGCCTCCTTTTGTATATATATGTGGAGCGGTGTGAGACCGAGTAGGGCTTCCAAAGCAGCCGTCGGACAGGATCTCATTGCACCCGTTATGTTAAGACATGCTAACCGCTGGATTTGTGCCAGCTGTTGTTGAGCTGTCTTATGTTTTGTTTTTGGCCACCAAACCAATGAGGCGTAGGCGACCATGGGTCTGATTATTGCTACGTAGGCCCAATGAGCCATTCGTGGTTTGAGACCCCAGTTCCTTCCTAGGAGCCTGCGGCAGATCTGGTTTGCCATGATGGCCTTTTTCCTCACCTTATCTAAGTGTGAGTTCCAGTTTAGTTTACTGTCAAGTATTACCCCTAGGTATTTAGTTTCTGTTTTGAGGTTAATAGTTCTGCTTTCAATGGAGGGTGCTTTTATTTGTAGCTTCCTTCTCCGAGTGAAAGGGACTATTTCGATTTTATTGGGATTGATGCTGAGCCCATTGCTTCTGCACCAAGTACTGGTGAGTAGTAGGGCTTTCTGCATTAGCTGAGTTATGATTGAATCATATTTACCTCGGATTGTGATTACCAGGTCATCAGCATACCCTTGTATCTTAAATCCGTTTTTAGTTAGGGTGTTCATCAAGTCATCAACTACCAGGCACCATAATAGAGGTGATAGCACTCCCCCTTGGGGACATCCTCTTAGCGCCTTTATAGTCAGCGACTCGCCTCCCAGACTGGCTGTGATCTGCCGACTTTTCAACATGGCTATACACCACTTGATTGTCGACGGATGTATGTCTTTTACGTTTAAAGCCTTCTCTATGGATTCATATGAGGTGTTATCAAACGCACCCTCTATATCTATGAAAGCACAAAGGGCTATCTCTTTGGTTGCAATTGCCTCCTCTAAGGTGCTAGTCAAAGCATGGAGAGCGGTAATTGTTGATTTTGCTTTCTGGTAAGCATGTTGGCTAGGGTGGAGTGGATTCATATTTTGGTACCATTAATTTAAATTTGAAATTTTTTCGAAAATCGGGTACTTTTTTCACATAACTCGCGATAAAAGAAAAATCGCGGACCCGAAAACTTCCAAATTAACATGTGATATGCTGAAATGTTCACTGATTACAATAAATTTTACCGCAATTTTGTCCATCGAGCGGTTACGACGATATCGATCTCTAAAATGAGAGGGGCCTTCACTTTTTGCACGGATAGTAGTTAGCCATGAATTTCCTCCAAAAAACAAAAAGCTCACTAAATTGAGTTCATGAAACTGTAATTCTTTCCCTATTTAATAGTCTCTCTATATCCGCCAGTTTTCGAGATTTCCAAATTAAACATGAAAAAAACTCACCCTGTATACAGGGTCATCCACGACGACCGTCCATTAGAACTATACGGGGTTTTGGCCAAAATAAAAATTTGAAAATTTAGATTTAAGTATTACCAATTGCGTTCTCTTCGACTAAAATATTTTCAGATTTCTAGCATTTCCGGTTATACCGGAAGTCGCCACCTACTTTATTTATTTAAATGGAACACCTGTATATTTTTACATATTTGGATTTGTCTGTTTTCAGGATTTATGAATGACTTTAATAATAAGATTAAACCACTGACACTTTAATCAGTGGTTTTTTTAAATGGAATTATTAAATTCGTTATTTTTTTCTGATTACAAAAATATAGGGTTTGACAGGTCTATTTCTTATTGTTTTAGAATAAGCTAAAAATAAACTTTTTTTTAGTGTCGTCAAAGAAATTAGATTTACAGTTTCCTGTAAATTATAACTAAAAATTAAAAGAAACATATTTCTGATATTTGAAACAAATACATTTGTTGAACTATTTAATTTATATTTGTTTTACACAAAAGATGGAATAGATTGCGTTATTTCACATTTTTTAATAATATTTAATATTGTTATTAAATGACTTAATAAATTATTGATAGATGGCGCTCATATATATATTTTTTAATTCAAATAAACATAGAAACATTTGTTTGTATTCAAACATTTTCTGAAGTGTCAAATTTAAAAATTCTGTTTTTAAGATGGATTATGAAAATTACGAAAAGTTTAACATGTTAGAATGTTACATATTAGAAAATAAAGTAAATTTTATATAAATTTTTAGTTATAGTGCCGTAATTTACAGAAAACTGTAAATTTAATTTCTTTGACGACACTAAAAAAAAGTTTATTTTTAGCCGATTAAGTTTTAAAAATTCGTATAAAATCGATTTCTTAGAATATGAGTATGAAAATTTCCCAAAGTGTTAATAAAAGTTCTTCTTTCCAACGAACCAACCCATTTTGAAAAATAATTTTTAGTTTTTAAGAAAACAATATTTGAAGTTTTAATAAAATTTTCAATTTTACAATTTTCATCGATAATATTGAAAATTCGCTATAAAATTAATTTCTTGAAGAAACCTTCTGAAAATATCACCAATTATTAATTAAAGCATCCTCTTTTTAATGCAAAGAGCCGTTTTGAAAAATCACTTTTAGTTTTTAAGAAATAAATTTTTGGAATGATCGACAATTTTTTCAAATTTTGCAATTTTTGCCGATTTAATTTTAATAATTCGTAAAAAATCGATTTCTTATGAGAATTTACCAAAGTGTTAATATACAGGGTGTGTCAAATGTCTGGAATATAGCCAATAACTTTGCCATTTGTGGTTTTAAAAAAAATGTTTCAAATACAAGTTTCTTTATTAATCATGGCGCATTTTTTGGCGATATTTGCTTGTTTGTATTGTTTTTTGTTTCGTTGCTATGGCAACCAACATTGTTATTTTAAATGGGATGCATATATTTTTTTGAATACTTTGATAGAGGATAAGTCTCTTTATGCGATGAACATATCAAATCATATGGTTATATAAGAAAAAAATCGAGAAAAATGCGTTTTTTGAAAGTCTAAATCAGCTAATTACAATCAAAGTAGGCGCCGAAATAACGCCGTTGACAGCTTTAAATGTCAAAATTACTAATACAACTATATGATTTGATATGTTCATCGCGTAGAGGGATTTATCCTCTATTAAAATGTGCAAAAAAAACATATGCATCCCATTTAAAATAACAATTTTGGTTGCCATAGCAACGAAACAAAGAACAATGTAAGTATCGCCAAAAAATGCGCCACAATTAATAAAAAAATTTTTATTTGAAACATTTTTCTTTAAAACCACAAATGGCGAAGTTATTGGCTATATTCCAGACATTTGACACACCCTGTATATGAGCGTTTTATTGTTTTTAATATTTATAATTTTCCTTTTAATACATTCTACTATATGCAGGTGTTTCAGGTTTTTGTAGCAGGAGTATAACAGTCGATAGATCTTTTAAAATTAACACAAAAACTTCATATATAGGTCGACAAATGCTTTGTTTTGAAGATACAGGTGACCAAATTAAATTTTTAAATTGATTTTTATTTAATATTACACGTGTAATTCAACCGATTCTTTTCAAATTTGGTATACGGAAGTTTTTTGGCATGAGAAAGACGATTATGGAGTCCGTTTTACTATAGCCGGTAGAGGGCGCCTTGTAACGTATTCTTTACGGATTAAAATAATAACTTTTCTGACAGTTTGATAGGTCTATTTTTTATTGTTTTAGAATAAAGTTAAAAATAAACTTTTTTTTAGTGTCGTCAAAGAAATTAAATTTCAAAGTTATTATTAATAAATTTTCTTTGATCTTAAACTTATTTCAATTGAAGTAGGGAAATTATGACAATAAAAGAAAAGTTGTCGTGATTTAGTATCAATTAGATTCTCAGATATAGGAATTACTTCATGTTCTGAAATTTGATTACTATTAAGGCTATCATTATCACTATGATGTTCATTTGAATCAATCTGAACTAAAGAAATATTATCATCCTCATTATCAATTGCATTAATTTCAATTCGACTTAACGCATCTGTATTTGAATTTAATTTTTCTAAAATTTGATAATCATACTCTTGCAAATAAAGTTTCCATCGTTGAAACTTGTTATCTTTAAGTTTATGAAGCCAAGTATCCATATACATAAAATCGAAATTGTTTTAAAGCTAAAAGTTCTTTTTCTGTTGTACAGGGTGGTTCAAATTCGATGTACGAATAGGCTATCTCCGAAACTATAAGAGTTAGAAAAAAAGTAGTTTACATGTCATGATCTCGTTTTTCGAGAAACTGATAATGCCAAAAACCTCAAAGCGCTGTCGTCTTTTGTTTTTCCCCTAGAGGCCAAAATTAAAAATATCGTAAAACCAGCAAGTGCAATTATCTTAGTTATTATTATAGGTGGAGTATTATAACTAAGACATTATATGGACACTTTTTTACAGAGAATTTTATGACGTAGTCAAAAAAATTTTTTCGGTTTTAGATTTTGAGATATCATGACAATTTTTGTTTTTTAAAATGGAAACAACCATTGGTTATTCGCTTATTAAATTCGTTATTTTTTTCTGATTACAAAAATATAGGGTTTGACAGGTCTATTTCTTATTGTTTTAGAATAAAGCTAAAAATAATTTTTTTTAGTGTCGTCAAAGAAATTAAATTTACAGATTCCTGTAAATTATAACTAAAAATTAAAAAAACATATTTGTGATATTTGAAACAAATACAGTTGTTGAACTATTTAATTTATATTTGTTTTACACAAAAATTGGAATAGATTGCATTATTTCATATTTTTATTAATATTTAATATTATTATTAAATAACTTATTAAATTATTGATAGATGGCGCTCATATATTTTTTAATTCAAATAACAGAAACATTTGTTTATATTCAAAAATTTTCTGAAGTGTCAAATTAAAAATCCCGTTTTTAAGATGGATTACGAAAAGTTTAATATGTTAGAATGTTACATATTAGGAAATAAAGTAAATTTTATATAAATTTTTAGTAGAATAATTTTTAGTTATAGTAATTTACAGGAAACTGTAAATTTAATTTCTTTGACGACACCAAAAAAAAGTTTATTTTTAGCTTCATTCTATATCTTATCACTTTTAGTTCTTGAGAAATAAATTTTTGAAATAATCAACAATTTTTTCGAAATTTACATCACTAATCATAATCAATTATTTATTTTTAGAAATTTGGTTCGCCTCCCAAAACAAACCAAAGAAGGTTACAACGTTCTTCTCTACTCAGTTCGAGATACAGATTACACAAAACTAGTTTTCAGCGACGCCGTGAAAGCTTTTTGCATGTACAACGATTGCGTTTTATCCGAAGACGGATTATCGGAAGGTTACGTCGTCATTTTCGATATGAAAGGGGTCGCTTTAGGACATTTAGCAAGAGTTAGCCTCCCAGCGTTAAAAGCTTTCATGGTTTACATCCAAGTAAGAAAAAAAAAATACATTAATCTCCTTCTAATTAAAAAAAAAAAAAATTTTTAGGAAGCTCATCCAGCCCGATTAAAATTAATCCACGTTTTAAACACTCCAAACTTCATAAATCACGTGATGCGGATTGTTTTACCTTTGGTAAAATCGGAATTATTATCAATGGTAAAATTTCATAAAGGAAGAGTCCCAGATGGATTTCCAGTCGAGTTGATGCCCTTAGAATATGGAGGTGCAGCCCCTAGCATAGAAGTATTAGACGCAACCACGAAGAGTATGACACACAAATATATAGATTGGTTAAAAGACACAGAAAAGTTCCGTGTTGATGAATCAAAAAGGCCGAAAAAACCGTCATGGTGGTCTATTTTTGGTTCGACCACTACTACTCAGCAAAGTCAAAATGAATTAACGATCGAGCAACAAAAGGAAAACTTTTTTAAGAATCTGCAAATCGATTAGAATAATTTAGCGGAAGAAAGAGGATAAATAATAATTATATCTCGGTGAGATAATGATTTTCTCGATTAGAGTAGTATTATTTTTTGTATATTTTTGTTGTATAAAGAGGTTTTCGTTTAGATAATAAAGAATGTATTTGAAGAAGAAGAATTAATAAAAGAAAAATGAACCTAAAGAGCTGAAAGAAGAACTCCTTTTAAGAATCCTGAAGATTCCTGAAATTCCTAAGGTATATTTATTTACTTTTTTTTTATTTCTATAAATGTCGATGTTATCCTTCTTTTAATTAGTTTCTGCATACACGAAATATTTCTTTTTTGAGTAATTGAAGTTGCTACAATTAACCTTTTTCCCATCTCTTTTTATTCTTGAGATATCATTTTTTATGTCAAAAACAATAGTTTCCAAAATATTAGCTTTTTGACTATTTGAAGTTGGTACAACTCATCGATCGGATATAATCGTTTATGGAATATATTTCCTACGTTAATATAGAACATTTTTTGTCCTAATCACTTTCTTCCATCTCTTTTTATTTTTGAGATATCTTCAATTTTTATGTCAAAAACATCATTTTTCGAAATATTCGTCTTTTATTTAATTTAGGTTGGTATAACTAATTGATGGGATACAATTGTTTATAGAACATGTTTTCTAAGTTAGTAAGGAACATTTTTTGTCTCAATCACTTTTTCACATCTCTTTTTATTCTTGAGATATCATCATTTTTATGTTAAAAACGTCATTTTTCGAACTATTCGTTTTTGACTAGCTTAGGTTGGTATAACTAATTCATGAGATATAATCGTTTATGAAATATGTTTTTTAGGTTAATAAAGAACATTTTTCGTCTGAATCACTTTCTCGCACCTCTTTTTATTATTAAAATATTAACGTTTTTTCAGTCAAAAACGTCGTTTTTCGAAATATTCGCTTTTTGATTAATTTAGGTTGGTATAACTGATTGATGGGATACAATTGTTTATGGAACATGTTTTCTAAGTTAATAAGGAACATTTTTTGTTCCAATCACTTTCTCCCATCTCTTTTTATTTTTGAGATATCTTCAATTTTTATGTCAAAAACATCATTTTTCGAAATATTCGTCTTTTGTTTAATTTAGGTTGGTATAACTAATTGATGGGATATAATTGTTCATGGAACATGTTTGCTAAGTTAATAAAGAACATTTTTTGTCTGAATCACTTCTTCCCATCTCGTTTTATTCTTGAGATATCATCAATCTTCATGTAAAAAACATCATTTTTCGAAATATTCGCTTTTTGACTAATTTAGGTTGGTATAACTAATTCATGAGATATAATCGTTTATGAAATATGTTCCCCA